GTGCCACGTACAGGGACCTGAAAGGACGGCTGGGCCCAGCGTCTTTGCCAGACCATAGCATCTGACCAAGATGAGGACATGGCTGCAGCCATGCAGGCCACAAACCATGGAGGTGTTCAGGGCATTTTGCTTTTTTCCCCAATGGGAAAACTCACCCTGTGGTCCACAAGGATGCCGGGAGGATCGCTGAGGGTGGAGAGGAGGAGCTGGCTGGGGTAGAAGTGCCCTGCCCGCTCCCTTCAGGCATCCCCACCAGTCCCTAGGGACCGTGCCCGCGGGCAGGTGGTGGCCATGGTGTCCCAGCCAGCTGCATGGTGCACCCTGTGCTCCCAGCGCCGGGGCTGCCTGCGGTCCCACTGCCAGGCCGCTGCCCGCTGCTAATTTCACTTCCTGACGCTGGCAGATGCCCGTGGCTGGGTGCCAGGGCAGGGCGCTGGGGACCACAAACCGCTGGGGAACACGGCGTACCCACCCCAGCACCCCTGCCCGTGGCCTCCACTCCGACACCGAGCCCCATCCCTGTGGCACACAGCGCCTGTCCCCGGCAGGCAGCTCTTGGCAGGTCTCTGTCCCGTCAGGGCCGTGGGGGTGGCAGTGCAGCTGGGGGGCGGAAAACAGCCCCATGATCTACCAGGGGGCCGAAACCCCTGGGGGGGTGGAGGCTGGCACTGCTGGGTTGCATCCCAGCACGGTGCGGGAGGGCGCAGGTCTGGGCTGGCTCCCCGTGGCTGTGTCACAGCCGTGCGGTACAGGCTGGGGGGGCAGCAGCTTCTCCACAAGGACCGCCCGTGCCGTTTTGGGAGGCACTGCCTGCACCCGCCGGTGCCAGCGCCCACGGGCAGGCAGAGCCGGTGAAGGGCACGTCTGCAGTGTGCCCGCAGTGCCCAGGCTTGCTCTGCTGGAGCCTGGTCCTGGCACGTGTGCGCACTGCAAACAGCTCCCTTCCCCTCTGCCTGGCCTGAGCCTGGGGCCTGATCCTGACGGCCATGCAGCCCCTGCAACCTCATCCCCCGCTGGGGACTGTCTGCAGGAGCACCGGGGTCTCAGCCTGGCCCTGCCCTGAAGAAACCCCCTTCTCGAGGGACATGGAATACCACAGAGGGGAAACTGAGGCACGGCAGAAGGGCAGGTTCTGGTGAGCTGCAGGAAGGAGGCAGGCTGGACCAGGACCCCGGGCTTTGAGCATCTTCCCAACCCTCAGAACCCCCTGGGCCCAGGTGCAGCCCCAAAGGGGGGGCAGTCCCTCTGCTCACCCCCATCTGCCCTGCTGCAGGGGTCCCTGCGGGATATCCCTGCGTGAGCCGGTCTTGTCGCTGGCTCGTCCTCTGGCCGCCCCTCTCCCCTCTTCTGGCTTCTCCTGCAGGGCAGTGCCGAGCTGGGGAGGGGGTGCCAGTGCCCATGCACGGCTTGTGCGTGTTCCCTCGGGGGGCTGGCGCAGGCAGAGCCCAAGCAGCCCTTGTTTCCCATGTGCAGGCTCCGGCCGGCTCTCGCTTCTCTCTGGCTGGGCACAGATCTCCACCGCACCGGGCCACCGCTTGCTCAGGCCTGGCAGCCGCCACTCAGGCTGCCCTCCAGTGGGAACCTCCATTTTGTAGCATGGCTTTCCCTTCCCAAAGTGTCCCTGGGCCTGGGAGCGGTCCCAAGCAGCCCAAGGTGGGCTAACCCCAGCCCGGCCGGAGATGTGAGCTGATCTGGATGCACAGGGGGGAACTGGGCTCCGAGGACTGCGTGGAAAATCCCAGCCATGCATTTATCTGCGAGGCTCCCGCGGGGCTGGGCTGGGCTGGGACACGGCGTTCGAGGAGCAGGGAGGGATGCTTGCATAAGGCCGAGCGCTTTGGCTTGCAGCTGCGCCTTCCCAGATGGGTTCCCGGCATGCAGAGCCCAGCGGGGAGAGAGCAGGAACGTGCAGAGTTGGGGGGGTGCCTCCCCACATGCACCTGACCTTCGGGTGGACCTCCAAACCCCTCTGCTCTCCCCACACTGCTCCAAACACCTTCCCGGGCAGCTGCTTGCCCTGTGCTTGCTGCACTGAGCACCCCCCCCCCCCGCCCCTGCCACAAAACCTCCCCCAGCCCCTTTTCTCCATCGCGCCCCTGAGCTGGGCCCGGCTCCTGGCTGGAGGGAGCCCTGGAAGCTCAGCCTGCGCCAGAGGGACGCAGCCTCAGCCCATCTCCCTTTCTCTCCTCCTCCCCCTTCCATCTCCACCCGTGCCCTCATCCCCACTGTTATCCTCATCCCCATCCCACCCCACCTCCACTCCCATCCTCATCCTC